ACGAGAAAAGGCAACCTGTGGGCCGGCTGGGACATGGACGTTTCCACTGGAGAAGCAGGGTGTGCTGCCATTGTCTTTTATCTACGTGTCTCCGATGGACGCCACGCCGAAAGGCGCGGATGGTGAGGAGCTCCCACTGGCGTCGGAGCTGCGGCGGAGTGGGCAACAGCAGGCGAAGGAGGAGGAGGAGGAGGGCGCCCCACCACCCCCTCCCCCACCCATAGAAGAAGAGGAAGCAGCCGCGGCAAAAAGTCGCGCTGAAGAAGAGAAAGCAGCCGCGGAGAAGAATTGCGCCGAAGAGGAGGAAGCAGCCGCGGAGAAGAATTGCGCCGAAGAGGAGGAAGCAGCCGCGGAGAACAAGTGCGCCGAAGAGGAGGAAGCAGCCGCGGAGAAGAATTGCGCCGAAGAGGAGGAAGCAGCCGCGGAGAACAAGTGCGCCGAAGAGGCGGCGGCGGCGGCGGCCAAGGAGCGTGCGGAGCTGGAAGCAGCGGCAGGCGGGGACTCCATGAGTCAGTGGCCCTGTAAGGTTCTAAACGGCGGATACTGTCGGGCTGACAGTACCCATTCAGCGGGAGCGGAGCACAGGGTGCAGATTAATCCTGTCCCTGACGTCGCCGGAATCGTAGAGCCCGAAGAGAGATCTCTTGATGTTGAATGCACCGTGCCAAACGCGATGGCCCAACAACTTGCCGCCGTCGCGAAGTATTGCCCAGTGCACCACGCCGTTCTTTTGCGGCTTGCAAACTTGTTGCTGAGGAAACGTCCGAATAAGCCACAGATACTCTTGTGGTCCCATCTGCAAGGCAAATCAGGTGGTCTTGAAGCGAGCGTGCAGCTTCAAAAGAAGGAATCTTGTCGTCGCTCGCTTAGCACCGCACCCACGTTTGCCCCTGTGGGTGACACCGCTGAGGAGCGTCTTGTTTCAGTGGCCCCGGCGGGTCCTGCTCGGACGGCAATGCGTTTCTGGGCGAAGCTTCTACTTGAGAGTAAACCTGACAATCCGGTGGTGTTTATGTGGTCCAAGCTCGAGGCCAGGATGGAGCGCGACACGCTTGGAATGTCACTGTCCCGAACAACGAGCAATGCGTTAACGGAGAATTCCACAAAGTTGCTGCTGCTTCGCGGTGTTCTGCGTGGCTCCCCAGGCCACACGGTGTTGCGTAACCTGGTGGACCGCGTCCTTGACAAGAAGCCGGAGCAGCCCGAGTTGTGGATGCTGTACAACTTTGTTTCCCGCCTCAAGTCCTCCGCGTCGGCGTCAGGGCACTCACCACCGCCGTCGTTTCGCCGTGGCGATGAGGTCCCTACGGGGGACGATAGTTGCGCTTCGAATGGCGAGGACTCATTTGCCGCCGGGGGCGCGTGCGTGCCGCGTGTCGCCTCGGTGCTCCCGAGCCAGTGGGTGGATTCCGTGATACCGCCCGCAATTCGGAAAGCCGGCCCGCAGCCACGGACTAAGGAGGTGTCGACGCAAACGTCTTGCACCTTCCAGCCGAGCGAGGGGGCGGACTCAGCTCGAGTTGTGGTCGTACCACGCACCAGGAGCGCACCGTTCGTGCGGACCGTGGGTTTCATGTGCGATCGTTCTCCACGGGAGCTGCTGCAGCTGCCACCGTGCGACCCGCCACAATTCTGCTGCCGCCGCCGCCGCTTCTTCTGCGACGCCGTGGATTCGGGCATGGAGCCTCACCTGGTGTCCCCTCTTTTTGAGGAGCCGTACGGCTTGCCGTCCGCCCCGTTGCCGCGCGCTGGGGGATCCCCACCCTCGCAGGGTTATCCCACCCGCAGCCCCGCGCTCCCATCGCGGCTGAGCGAGAGAAATCTTGCAGGGCGTTGGTGGGGCGACGACGGGAGGGCCGACGGTGGCGGGGCAAGGCAGGCCGAGGCCAGGCCGATTCCGCCGTGCGCGGAACTTCCGCCGCGGCCACAGTCAGAGCCAGTTCTTCTTTCCAGTGGCGAATCTTCCGAGCTGCGGTATGCGATGCGACGATGCGAAACGGAGCGTGCGGAAACACTTTACGAGTACAACTGGCTCCTGCAGCGCGAGGCGATACGGAAGGAGAGGCTGCAAAAAGAGCTTGAGCTTCTGCGATACGAAAGGGATATTCGTGAGAGAATGATGCGCCGCAGCCCCGACGCACACGCGGCAGTGACGGCGCAGGCCTCTGCAGCTGCGCAGTTAGAGGCCGAGCGGCGTCTTCATAGCTTAAGGCGACAGGGGTCACCGGAGCCTCCGTCTGAGCTGGATCTCATCCGCAAGCGCTTGGAGCTACTGGACATGGAGGAGGCCCGTTTCCGCCACTTGTCACGCACACCAAACCGTTCGGCCGTGCCAACTGGGAGGGATGTAGTCGGCGATGCAGCTCTTCGTGCCACCTACGACAGTCCTGCGGTGCACCGCTTTAGTGATCGCTTAGGCGTTTCCCCGCACTTCAACCCCGTCGTGCCGGCGACTTCCAGAGCCGAGGAGATGCCGTGAGGGGGCGCACGATGAGCCGACGCACGTACGCACGCACGCACGTAAAGGCGGTGTTGTCCTTACCTTCCTAATTCGCGTCTCCGAGTTCCACCTTTTTTTCCGCTTCTCTTTTCCCTCTTGTTTCTAGTTTCTTCTTCTTTGGGTGCAGGCACGCGCCTGTGTCTGTCGGTTGGTGGTTGCCTTCCCCGCTCTGCTGCCTCGTGGCACGCGGCTAGCTGCCATGTCTCTGTGCCGTTGTGCCGTGGCCGCACGGATGCACGCGCGTCCGATGTTTTGTATTCTCCGTCGCCCGCAACGAGGCCCCAGCGCTGGCACGGGGTGGGGGAGGATGTGGAGGGAAAAAGAGAAGCGACAAAACGACCAACCAACGGGAGAGAAGGAAGGAAGGAAGGAAGGAATAGGCGCGAGGGTAAAGCGCCACGCCTTTTTTTTCTTTTGTGCGTTAAGGGTGTTTTTATCATTACGTGTTTTTTTTTCTACAACTTTTTTTTTTTTTCTGGCTGCGAAGAGCATCGCTGGCGGCGTGGCCATACGGTGCGCCCCTGCGCACATGGTGGGGCGTCGGTTGTCGTGCAAGAGGCGTGAGGAGGGAGAGCAAACAAAAAGAAAAACACACGCAAACAGAAACGAAGCCAGAAAA